TTGAATGACCCTGGCTCGCAAGGGGCCTGCAAGCCTATGCCATCTCATTTCCCCCTTTTTTCTTTTGTTTTAATAAAATTGCCTTCCAGAGGGTGGCCATAGAATTCTGGGACGGTTTTATATAGCAGAAATGTAGCAGCATAAAGCATAAGATAACAACTAGCAACACAATGCCCATTCCTCCAGCAGTATGCCCTAAACTCTGAATGATACCTTTTGGGTCTAATCCCTCAAGTTGTTTAAGGAACAAGTCTGCCAAAGTGGCAGCATCTTCGGTCTCAAATGGTCTGCCAAAGATCTCCTGAATATTTGTGTGCAGATTATTGATCATGTCAACCGCCGATGAATTACCTTCTAAGTATCTTTGGATAACGCTCCAATCATGCTGTGACTTATTATATTTTAAATTGGTAACACAAAAAGTCGTAGAATTCAAATCGCAACGAAGCCAAATTTGCCTCTCTAGTGTCAATACCTTCTTCCCTAACCAGCCCACTGTCTGCCTAAGGACATCTATTTGTGTTTGCAAGCGAGTATCAATCATAGTTTGTGAAAGCCAAAGATCCCGAGAGTCACGGTGCCAATTTTCCATAAAATGTTTGGTTTGCAGAGAGGTATGTAATGCTATACCTGATACTGCGGCCAGCGTGGTAACTGTGATTAAGCTTAAAATAACTGCCACAATAATGCCGACAAAATGTTTTGTATGTTTCAGCATCTTTTTGAAAAACTCCAAAACTAAGGCGTCCACGGGATTTTGGGCCCACGGCCGTTCTAGATTCACCGGAAGCCAAGTGTGAGAACGTTGTTGCAAAATCATAAGAGAATATCCCAGTTCAAATTCTATAGAATTATTAATACAAGAGTACAGTCGACATCTGGTACAGTTAATTCCATTATAGAAACTAAAGTTCCCAACCAGAAATAGATATGGCAGAGGTACACAAGCGGTTACATTCATTTCTTTAAAAATAGTGAAGTTATAAGTTGACGCAGAGTTCGCTGTGCCAGAAAAAGTTCCATTGTAAATTCTAACAGTCTTAAGCGCAGCTGCAATTTTCCATAAGTGTGTTTGAATATGATCAGGAAATTTCTGATGTGCTACACGAGGATCTGCAATGCCGCCATCTCCCCAGGCCATCAATTGATGATTTACCATTGGCTCACTCCAGTTGTTCTGCGGTGGTATCCTATAAGTTAAAGATAAATCACAATGTGTTTTATTCCATTCTGAGCAATTCCGAAGAAATTGACCATATGGCCCCCACATAAGCAAATTCTTGTAATATTTTGCAAACTTTCCAACACATTCCTGCCATACAAACGGCTTATAGGCCAGTCTTATGTATGTGAAGTCAGGACAGACAGGAAATGAGGGGAACTTATCAAATGTAACATTTCCCCATGTCATGTTAAGAGACCATGCCTCAAATCTTTGTAAATGAGTTCGGGATCCATTAGACATATCGCCGGGTAAGATCCAGTTTTGCCAGTTCATTTCGGCACAGGGAGAGGGGCCAAGACAAATGTAAGGACCATCCCCTTTATGTAGAAAATCAAATAGGGAGCCATCATCTTGATTAAGGTAAGTAAGATTTTTCCAAGGGGGTGAAAGTATCACTGGGGAAGTATAAATAGGAATATCCGCACTTCCCCAGGGTGCAGGTTCCATCATAGGTGGGTTGGGTATATAGGCCCAATAGCTTACATCTGTCGCTTCAGCGGAGGATGATACAGTAAGTAAAGCGCACATGGCCAAAAACAAATTTTCGGGTGTGCAAGCCTTCCCTGTCCGCTGCAAGATTTTTTGCCTTTCCCCACCAAGTTTTTTAATTTGTCCCCAGGTAGGCAAAACAGTAGCAAATGTTTGCCGACGGCGACGTCGTCCCCCCAAATTTAGGTGTGCCATGGCCTGTATTGGAAGTTCATCGTGGTCTGGATTCCTTGTTCGTCGCCTGACAGGATACGGTGCCGTTCGAATTGGTCCTTGGCTGGATCCACCTCGCGGGGAGCCAGGAACAGGTCCGTCCATCCTCTGTGGAGACATAAGCATAACCCTTCCCTCTATAAAGTAATAGCCCTGGTTGCCATTCTGCATCTGCAGCCGGTTTAAACCATATTTTTTTCATTTAACGGAGGAGGAGCAGCCTCTCCCTCTATGAAATGCTTTTCTGCTTGGGAAAGAATATCTCCTTGCGGAAGATTCAAGAAATTGAGTGTAAATAGTGCCTGTATCAAAATAGAACGCGCATTAGATTGAGTAAATGATAATATATGATCCTTTTTCCTCCTTTTTAATTTTTTAATTTGTAACTTTAAAGTACTATGCGCACGTTCCACAATAGCCTGTCCTTGGGGGTTGTACTCAATGCCTGTTTTATGCATTATACTATATTGTTTACAAAAGGCTTGAAATTTTTTGCTGCTATATGCAGGGCCATTGTCTGTCTTAATGATAGATGGTAGGCCCATCACAGCGAAAGTTTCTAATAGATGGGTGATGACATGTTGTGCAGTTTCACCAACTTGTGCCGTAGCCCACATGAAATGAGAATAAGTATCTATTACTACGTGCACATAAGAGAATTGGCCAAACTGTGCCACATGAGTAACATCCATTTGCCAAAGTTCATTGGCATATGTGCCTCGGGGGTTTACTCCAGCTTTTGTAGTGCGCAGATGTAAAGGTCTACAGATTGGACATTGCTTCACGATAGATTTTGCTTGACAGTATGGAATTTTATATTGAACATGTAACCTTCTGGCATTGGTATGCAATAAATTATGTTCTTCCTCCGCAGATACAAAAGACACCAAAGCGTCCACTTGAGCATTACCATGTGTCAATGAACCAGGAAGATTAGTATGGGAACGAATATGAGTCACATAAATACGAGCATTCCGGCTTCTAAGCAAAGTTTGCAAAAGTAAAAATAGGTTAAGTAAATTGGACTTATGTGAATGTACAACAGCAGTGTATATATTTTTAAGGACTCCTACAGCGTAAGCAGAATCAGCAATAATATTTACAGCGGAGGGAAAATCCTTTAACACCTGAGTAATGGCGAACAATTCATTTTTCTGGACTGAATTAAAGTCTGTATACTGAACCCAATATTTAGTAGGAGTCCAGTAAGCACTTTTAGTTTTGGAGCCATCGGTAAAGACCATGGGTGCATCAATTAGGGGCTGATCACTGATGATATCCTGAATAACAAACTCTTGTTTACGAAAACAGTCCCGTAATTTTCCTTTGGGAAAATGATAATTAATTTGACCAACATACCCTACAAGAGCAATTTGTAGTTCTTCCATATTTCGTAACAAAAATGAAAATTGATCCTTGGACAGGGGGATAATAATGTCCATAATATCACAACCAGTTATGGTTATAGCCCTGTCTCGAGCTTGTTCTATCAGATATGCTATTTGAATACCATAGGGCGTAATATTTTTTGAAAAATGATGTTTAGTATAGATCCATTCAATGGGTAACTCATTTTGACCTAGTATAGCCGTGGGATATTGCCATGTATGAAGAATATACAATTTTAGAGGCAAGGAGGGATCAATTCGGGTTAAGAAAGCAGATTTAATTTTTTCCTCTACAAACCGTAGTTCAATTTCGGCTTCAGTAGTAAGTTGTCTGGGGCTATTGATATCAGGGTTTCCCTGTAGGGTTTCAAATAAGTTATGCAATCGGTATGTAGGGATACCTAGAGAGGGTCGCAACCAATTAATATCCCCTAATAGTTTTTGGAAATCATTTAAAGTTCTCAAGTTATCCCTACGAATAGCCATCTTCTGTGGCCTAATTGCATTTCTTTCTATCACATATCCCAGATAATTGATGATATCTCCTTTTTGAATTTTCTCTGGGGCAATTATTAAGCCAAAAGGAGCAAAGTACTCAGGTAATAATTTTAAAATTTCATCCAATTCATTTTGATGAGGGCTAGCGAACAGGATGTCATCCATATAATGAGATATGTATACATGGGACCACCTTTGCCGTACAGGGCGCAAAGCAGCATCAACATAAAGCTGGCACATAGTAGGAAAGTTCCTCATGCCTTGAGGTAAAACTTTCCATTGGAACCTTTGATGAGGTCCCTGTCTATTTATAGGGGGAAGGGAAAAGGCAAAGCGTTTTCTATCATCTTTATGCACAGGGATAGTGAAGAAACAGTCTTGCAGATCAATAACTACAGTATGCCAACCTTTTGGTAAGACAGCTGGCGAAGGTATACCAGGCTGAAGGGCCCCCATAGGGAACATGGAGTTGTTAACCCCACGTAGATCAGTAAGTAGACGCCATTTACCTGAGGTCTTCTTTATAACAAAAATTGGAGAATTCCACGGGGAAGTGGAATGCTCAATATGTTGCTTTTGCAATTGTTTTTGAACCAATTGATGGGCAGCAGTAAGTTTTTCCTTAGTTAAAGGCCATTGTTTAATCCACAAAGGATCTTCAGATTTCCATAAAATTTTGATGGGTTCCATCTACAATTAGAATTCGAGATGAGCTCCCCACTGCTCTAGGACATCGCGGCCCAAAATATTTAAAGGAACATCTAAAATATATGGTTTTAGGACAGCCATCTGACCATCCTGGGAAGTAAATGTCATGAACTGAGTAGCTAGGCCGATACTGTGAACGGGAGTATTGCCAACTCCTTTTATGTGACAAGGCACGATAGTATAGGGGAGCTTCTCAGGCCAATCAGCAGTCTTAATAATAGTGATGTCTGATCCAGTATCTAGTAAAACAGTAATATCTTTAGTATTCAATTTAACTTCATCAAGGGCTGCATATGAGTTATCTGTGTAGTCCAAAAAACATTTTTTGTGTCTGTACTACCGAATCCCCCATGTCTAATAACAGTAGACTGACCGACAGAAAGGTAAGGTAATAACAATAATTGGGCAATGCGTTCTCCTGCTTCAAAAGATATATCAACTAGGGAAGACATAAGAATTTGAATTTCTCCCATATAATCAGCATCAATTATGCCTAAATGAACTGTTACTCCCTTTGATGTCAGGCTTGAGCGTCCAGTTAATAAAGCAAAGGTGCCAGTTGGCAAAGGTCCATAAATGCCAGTGGGCACTCTCTGCGGTTTGTCCCCTCCTTTTAAAGTAAATGATTTTATGCCTGGTATATCCATTGCGGCGCTGTGTTGGGTGGCTGGGCTAAGGGAGAATATAGTTGGTTTCCCCTGTTCGTTTGTCCTGGGCCCGGGGTAGGGCCCGAAATGGAGTTTCCCTGGTGCTTCTCTGCAAAACTGGTATTTAGTTTAGCACGACATTCTCGAGCCCAATGCTTTCCCTTTTTACATCGTGGACAAATTCCAGGCTCACGCCCTTTATCAAGTTTCTTCCCTTTATAATTCTTTCTCAAATGTTCTGGTTGCCCGCAGCCAAAACATTTCATCTTATCTAGTTGTTTGGACTGCAAGGAATGCCAAGTAGTGGCCATAGTTTCAGCAAATAGCTGCATCTTTCGACTTTCTGATGTTACATCCTTACAGGCCTTCATAAAAGTGTTAATGTCTCCTGTATCCTTAATAGGTAATATAACTCTCTTACAATCCTCATTAGCATTCTCATATGCTAGCAACCTCAACAATTGTTGTCTAGCTTCCTCTCCAATAACAGTTCTTTCTAAAGTTAATTTTAATCGTGATAAGAATTCAACATAAGGCTCATTAGTCTTTTGAATAACTTTAGTCCATGATCCATAGTGCTCCCCTGTTGGCCGAATACGTTCCCAAGCCTCTAAACCTATCTCCCGCAATTGCTCATGAATTTCTTCAGGGGTATTAACCTGAGTAGCAATATCAGAATATTGACCTATCCCTGCCAACATTTGATAACTTATAACCTGTATATGAGGGTTAGGACTTAATGCATTCTGGCGAGCCCGATCCATACATAGTTCAGAAAACCACATCTGCCATTGCAGATACTCAGGCTCCTTCAGAAGGGCTCTACAAAGGACCCTCCAATCTTCAGGAGAGAAATTATTATAATGTCGAGCTAATCCATTAAGTAGCTCCTTCACATAATGTGACTGTGGTCCATATAGAGACACTGCCTTTTTCAAGCGACCGATATCCTCTATTCCGATACCTTCATAATATGGTGCTTGTGCTACTCCCTGGACCGGGGGAGGCCTGATAACAGGAAAAGCAAAGACAGAATTATCAGCCTCGCTCTCATCATCGCTATCTTCTAGCGCATCAAGCTCAGCCAAGGCAGCAGAAAGGAAAGGATTCTTAAGAGAAAGACCTGGTGCGGGTGGCAGAGGTGGAGCGGAGGGTTTTTTAGGGGGCTTCTTAGATCCCTCTGCTATAGCTAGAACCCGCTGGAGAATCTTTTGTAAGTGCTCCGCCCCGGAATCCGATTTTACTTTTGGTTTTGTTTCAATGTGGCCACACTCACTCGGTTCCTGAGACGGTGCAAGCTCAAAAGTATCTCTTCAAACACATCTCAATATCAGTAGAAGCAACAGTAATGCCATAGACAGCAAGTGAATGCTTCAGCATTCGAACATAAGGAGTAGAAGTTTCTTGTCCCATAACCCTGTTATTTTAAGTTACTCACCCTTCCTGAACGTCCTTCAGGGTCCCTGTTCGGGCGCCAATTGTCAACGTCTAGTGCGTTGGGGTCCCTGGGTAAGGGCTGC